GCTGTTCCCAGCCCGGCGGCGGGCTCCCCGGGGACACCGGGGACATCCTCGGCTACGCAGGGGGTGACAGGACGCGTAAAGCAAAGGCATCGGTAATGCTGGAAGCTGTGATCCAGTATGTAGATAAGCCAAAGCCTCACACTGCTAAAGAAATCCTTACATGCCTTTTTTAGCTCAAGATTTATTTCCTCACACGCTGTCTTGAGCCCACTGCGTCTTCCCAAATCAGAATTTCACCACACTGCTGTTACAGCGGATCTTTCTCCTTCTTCCAAAGCCCTAAACCGGGGCTTTGTCTCTTCCACCTTTTGCTGCCTTCATCCTTCTTATCAAACAGGGTCTGCATCCACCCCTCCTCCCTGCTCCACATCCCTGCATCCCCCAGACTGCTCTGACTCCCGCATCCTGCCCGTCTAAGCCGGTGTGGTATTTATGCCCAGCCAGCCCACTCTCCAAGCCCTCAGGCCACCTTGTGCATCTGTCACCCGCTCCTAATCCTGCACAAGCCTCAGACGCTGCACTCCAGGCCACCACAGCCCTGGCATCTGCCTCTCGGCAGAGGGACACCCCGCACCCTCACAGCAGAGAGAACAGCTATGAGCTCTGACCCAGCAGAGCTGGGGCCACGCTCCAAAAACACCTGCTGCCTCTCAGCCCTTTTAGAGGAAGACACACTGCATGTCAGCCTGATCCTCTGAACACAGCGGTGTGGGGACCACGGCAGAGGAGGGGGCCCCAAACCACACACACCAGGCATGGAGGATGCTGGGTGGCCACCCAGGTCTCCGGCTCAAAGGCACATGTGCTAGGCTGCTGCCTGAAGTAACCCTCCACCTTTCCATTCTCACATAATCTGATTCCTCCTTGCCTTGTCCTTGCCACCCATGGTGTGTAAAAGGCGAGGAGGGGGCTGACCCCGAAAGTCAGCAAGTCTAGACTTGAACATGCATTGTTCCAAATGGTGGCAAAAATTAAAGGCTTGGACTTCACTACTGCTGTAGCCAGGGGGTCGTTTTCAATCCTCATTGAAACCCGTTGAAGGGAACTACACATGTGACTGTATCAGGTTTTAGCCAGTTTCCATTTGCTCTTTCCCACCTAAAAAATCATCAGTGTCCTGCATAGGCTGATATTCCGTCTTCTGCCAACAGCCAAGATCAGCTACCTGTTTTGCAATTCAGCCATCTCAGGTTCACAGCAAACTCCAAGCCGTCCAAGGAAAAGACCCTATTTACATCCTTTTCCATAGACGACATCTGTGCTGGGTTGAGGAAAGAAGGAAGGATTATGTTTTTAATATCTTAATATATAATAAGATACACTAACATCTTAATAACAGGATCTTAAGACATCCTTCACTTCTTTTTACATAAAATATCCATCTTCCTGACTGCCAAATCTTTCCAAAGCATTGCAGATATTGCCCAGCTACCCTACTGCTTGTCGATACTAGCATTTAAACAATTTTATTTTTTATGGCCATCAGAATGTGCCCAACTGAGAGGAGATGGTACAACAAGGCTGCGTGGTGCACTGCCTGAGCAAATCCAAGGTCAGAGCTACTAAGCCACTGCAAGTCTGGAGCAGGCTGTGGCTTCTGAAAGCGCAGTCAGTCAGAATAGACTTTGAGCATCTGTGAGGACATCAAGCCATAAACTTGGAGACATCACATATGCCTGGATCCCCATGGGCAATGCTGAACTGAGCAAGGCAAGGCTTGAAAAATAAAACCAATATCATCACACCCGCACCCCTTACACGCACCTCGGGATGGCGTAAAAAACAAAACAGCATTAAAAGGGTGGGTTGAGCCATGTGGGGTGAGGGCAGATTATTTAAAGAAAGTCAAATATAAATAAAATGTTTCTTTATTCTAATGTGGAGGCCTAAGATTTCATGGCAAGATATGTGTTGTATTTCCTAAGGGCTCATTCCTCCATACAAGCACAGACAGACAATCAGTACGATCCTAGATTATTTTCTTGTCTGTACAACAAAATATACATTTGTAGTAAAAGAGAATGTTTCTATAGGTTCAGGAAGAATATTAAAAAAAGAGAGATTAAAGACATCAGGTCAAGGCAAATCTGTTCTCAGCATTCTCATTCCAAATTTATGGTTTTTATATTTGGTTTCTACTCATTCCTCTCTCTTCTTTTCAAATTAATTCAAGCAGCATTAATCCTATTTCAAATACATCCCATTTAAAAAAAAAATAAAATCAAGTGATATTTGTATCAGATTTAACCTACTTTTCAGATATTTTGACAGAGACTCTGGGTTTAATGTAGGCTGCTGCAGAATGATTTCATGTTACCAGAGGAAGAAAGCTGCTTAGGGAAGGTTAAAATGAAGGAGATGGATCAGGCTCGTCTGACCAACTGCCCTTTTCATCGAAGATTTGTTCAGTTTTGGGGATTTTTTAAATGGAATCAAGAAGAAGTATATGACTGACAGACTGTCAGCATGCCTCAGCACAGACCTTGTTTCAGCAACAGCTGGATCACACCACAGCGTGATACCAGCATGACCCAGCGCCAGCAGGGGAAGACAGTAGGGCTGTTCAGTCTCCTGCCCAAATTCCTTACAGTTTTTCTGCCAGCAGAATTTCTGCCAAGAGTCAGCTGTGCAGACTATGGCGTGGCTGCACCACAGGGTCCCAAGAGCACTGACCAAATCAATTGGTATGGGCCAGGGATTCTTAAAGGTGCAACTTGGAGGAACACAGTGGGTCAGGGTGGCACAGACCCTGCTCCAGCCAGCCTGTCGCCTTTTTTTCAGGAACTGTGCAGAGAGTTTAACAAACTTGCAGTAGAACAATCTGCCTGGATGTCACCTTCCAGGCAGGGGAAAAGTGGCATCTGAAACCTGGATGAATGAGAGATGGTGTCAGCATGGGGCGTGGGGGTGTCGCCAGCAAAGAGTTTGCACCTTGGATGAGTGTCTGTGCTGCTTCAGAGAGGGAAACCCTGAGGGTGCCCAAGTTCATGTGCTGTCCCTTTGGCAGCTGACACAGCCCCCAACTCTTTGAAGGCCAGTGCCAAGCTCTTCCTTGGCCTCGTGCTCACCCATTTGGTGACACCCAGTTGTTTTGCTGATTAGGGATATCAATTAAACTCGGACACCAGAGTGAAAAGAGCAGGCACATTTTACTCAAAATAACTAAATAATATAACAGAATAATACAGGAAACATAGAGTAAGAAAAGACAGAATGGTGCACTTAAACAAATAGGAAATACAGGGTAATGCATCAAATCATTACTACCTGAGAGAGAGAGAGAGAGAACAGTGATTAAGAAAAGATCCCTCACCCGTTGCATACTTTACCATCATCCAGACCCGCAGGCACTGGGCAGCCCCGGTTACAGCGAGGGTTTGGAGAACCTTTCCCTCCAAGTGGGAAATCCTGCGCGGTGCCTCCACCCGTAGCTGAGGCTTCCCAAGTCGCTGTGAGCGCGTCCAGCCTTATATACCCACAAACCAGCAAGCCAGAAGAGCTGGCACCTTTGTTTTAAGCGGAAATATCTGGTTTCAATCTCACATTAGGTTCCCCCAGAGCCTGGCCAGGGCTCAAGGGAGAAGCTCAGGGAGTTTCCCTGATATCTCATTGGATTATGCACAAGGTCTCACATCAGGCCACAGTGCCTGTATGGAAATCTATGAAGGAAAATGATCATACAGTATTGCTAGACAAGTTGGACAATTCCGACTGGCTTGCTGAACTGCAGTTTTCCTTGAAGTCACCTTTGAAGCCGTATAAGGCAAAACTCTTAGTAAACAACAGGGTCAGCAACATGTAGAAGGGGATGCTGCAGCCACAGGGGGGGAGTGCCCTCAGACAAAGTTGC